GGCCGCCAGCGCAACACAACCCTCAATATAGCCCACGTTCCGGTCCGGGGACCGGCAACAGGATCGCAAGCCTCGGCGTTGCTCCCGCGCCTCGCTCAGCCAGTGAGCGGGAGCCGGTCTGCATGTGGGATCCGAACCCTCGGACGGGAGCGCTGCCGCGCTTCCCAAGCGGCGCACTATCCAGTGCGCCACCGGGCCGGCCCAGGACTAGGATTTTAAGAGGTCTGTCCTTCCATCCCATCCATTCTCCCTCCAACCCCAAGTTGTTGCTAGCAGTAGAAGTTATATTCCCTAGTAGTAGAACATATTTTAAAAAGAAATTTTTCGGGCCGGCCCAGTGGCGCACTGGAGAGTGCACCACTTGGGAGTGCGGCGGCGCTCCTGCCGAGGGTTCGGGTCCCATGTGGAGACCGGTTCCCGCTCACTGGCTGAGCGCGGTACGGGCGCAACACCAAGGGTTGCGATCCCGTTGCCGGTCAGTAAAAAAGACAAAAAGGGAAAAAAAAAAAGAAATTTTTCTTAATCTTGTCATCAGATATTAGTTTGAGAGTCAGGCATACCTAACTTTAGTGTGGCAAAATATTTCAGATCTGGATTATCATTTACTTTATCATTACAGTATTTTCCTTCCCTCCCACTCTACATAACTGCTTTTACTAATTACTTTATCCAATTACTTGTTTTCAGTCTTCATTCTATTCAGCTGTTTGATACTGTTTATATGGCTTTTTTGCAGCTCTCCCAATTCTGATCCCATTCTCTGAAAATTCTTTTCATGTTGTTTTACTGGCTTCTCCTTGCTACCTGCCTGTTAAGTTTGTACTCTTCATGACTCTGTTCTTGATCATTTTCTATCCTCAATCTTTACCCACTTTATAAGTGATATTGTCTAGTCCAAAGGTTTTCAAAGTGTAGTCCCCAGACCAGCAATATCACCTGGGATCTTTTTAGAAATGCGAATTATCAAGCCCCAACCCAGACCTCCTGAATCAGAAACTGAGGTAGAACCCATCAGTTGATTCTGATACATCCAAAAGTTTGAGAACCACTTGTCCTTTGTCATATGGCTACAACTCTTTATCTCTTGTCTTAACACATCTGTTCATTTCCAGGTCCATATTTTAAATTGGATATTTATTTCTACATGGAAGACCTAAAGCTCCTAACTTAACTCACTATCTTTCCCACCTGCTCTTCCTTCTGTGTTTCCTGTGTCAATTAGTGGTATCATTATCTACCCAGTGTCCCAAACAAGACATCCCAAGTCACATACTCCCTCTCCCTTATATTCTCTACTTTTATTTGCTCTTGAAATATCTTCTGAATTAGTCTCAGTGCTTTGTCTCTATTTTCCATGTTTTTGTTCATTATCTTACTTGTGTAGATCTCCATAAGTTGCCCCCCGCCCCTTCTCTCATCCGATTTTAACCTATCCTCCACCTTGCTGTCAGAGTTATCTTTATAACAAACCTGATCTTGTCCGTTGCCTTTTAAAAGATCACAATTAACTTTTTGTTTCCTAGAGGATAAAGTACAAATTATTTAGTGTAAAATACTAGGCCCAATCTGTCCTAAACTCTCTCCAGTCTCATTTCCCCACCACTCTACCAACTTCAAAGTTCTCATCTTGTTGAATTTTACATGCTTTCTCAAATACATCATGTTGTTTTTCTATACCACATCTTTGTACCTACTGTTTTCTCTTACTTCCCTTTTGTTACTTATATAGTTCTGCTCATTTATTCAGATTCAATTAAAATGTCACCTCTTCTGCAAAGGTAAATACTTAGGCAGAATTAGTTGCTCTATTTTCTATGCTTCCACTGCACACTTTTAGCAATTTTATTATAGTATGTATTTATTTCATATGATAATTTTCTTTTTGTATGATTCTTAATAGTGCCTATCATGTTAAGATTTGGTAGTTGTTGGATGAATAGAATAAATGCATGAGTTAAGGCACATACTTAGTTTTGTTGCAAACTATATTTCACCGAATCTGAGGAGATTATCATGTTAAATAACACAACTTAGACCATAAACAAAATTTTTTCCTATACAGTGGGAACTGGTGAGATGCATTTAAAAAATCAAAAAATAGAAAAATATTTCCTCCTGTTTGTATAAAAAATTGGCAGTGATGGTAACATTTATTACTTTCCTTAATAATTTTTCCTGTGTATAACTAGATAAATTGGTTTCTCAACATTTCCTCCTCTTTGGTGTACCTCCAAACACTTTAGATAGGAGTAAATATTCAAATAGCTCTTTAGATATTAATAGAGAAGGTTAGAGATCCAAGGAGTGAATATATAAAGCTAGAGATCCATTGGTTAGAAGGACGATTCAAAAGGAACTATTTAATCAATGATTAGGATGTAATTTGAGAGTTAGGTTTGTTGAGCAGCAGGTTAAATAAATGAAGATACAGTATTACAATAGGATATTATTAACAGTAAAAATGAATAAATTACATCTCACCATAAGAGCAAGGATAAATCTCAGAAACTTAATATATGATAATTTATTTCACTTATGTAAAGTTCAAAAGCATGGAAAACTAAGTGATACATTGTTTAGGAATACATATGTATGTGGTAATAACATATAGAAAAGCAAGAGAATTAAAATCACAATTAAGGATAGTTACTCTGGTGGGGATGTAAGAGTGCAGGATTGGGGAGGGTCACATAGGGCACATCAAATGTAAAGGTAATATTTTATCTCTTAAACTGGGTGGTGGGTACATGAGTTTTTGTATGATTCTTTACAGGTTACATATATTTTAGAAATATTGTTTTTGTATCATTAAATATTTAGTATAGAACAATAAAAATCTTGGAAGACACCTAGAAATCCAAATGAGGAAACTTTTCCAAGATAAGAGAGATGTAGGTATGTTTATTGGCAAGGAGACAAAGGAGTAATAGAGAAGGAAAGATTGAGGATGCATGAGAGATGGTAAATAATGAGGGACCAAGCTCTATGAAGTGATGGGCTACAAAAGTAGCCTTGGAAAGAAAAGATAACCCTTTCTTCAGTGTGGTAAGAAAAGGAGTCCTGAAGAAAGACAAGTGGAAATGCACAGATATGGGGTAGACTAAGATGAAGGGCCATACAATTGACAATCTAAGTTGTTCCAAGAAAGTAGATAGACTCATCTCTCTAAGGCAGTGTTTCCCAACGTTTTTTATGCCATGGCACACAGAAAATACTTTAATGCACACTAGGGTGAAGAAGGCAGCCATTTGTAAACAGAGGCAACTGGCTTGGTGCCATGTCGAGAGCTTAAAAGATCAATATCTTGACCCACCTATAACCCATTCAAGGCACACTGGTTGGGAAATTCTACTCTAGGGCACTGTTTCTCAAACTTACTATTTGTTTGTTTGTTTCATTATCACCCTTTGAAGGAGCCATTTTAAACAATTTTTTTTCCCTATATGTGCCCACCCATGAAATACTGATATCATGGAAATATTCTTTGTTTATGACTTGTATGCATATCTGTGCTTTGTAAACAAAATGAGTAAGATTTTCTCCCCCCCCCCTCACAAGAACCAATTTTCACTTCCATTAACAATGCATGATGTAGGACAAAGGAAGTAGAAAATTTGGAGGCTTTGTCAGTCATTTAGCAGGCTTTCTACAAGTGTGTGGGGAAGGAAGTGGTAAAGGTGATGGATTAGGGATTTGGGAAGTGAGTATGCCCTTATTTAGATGAAAGAGTCTTCACTAGTAGGGGTTTCCATGTATTTCTACTGAAAAATATGAAAAAATGGAAGACACATTTTCATCTGTTTGCATTTCTTGAAACTAAAAGAGTAATTCATGTATATGAGTTCTTTTTTTTTTTTCCCCCCTTTTTGTCTTTTTTTACTGACCGGTAACAGGATCGCAACCCTCGGTGTCGCGTCCGCACCGCGCTCAGCCAGTGAGCGGGAACCGGTCTCCACATGGGATCCGAACCCTCGGTGGGAGCGCCGCCACACTCCCCAAGCGGCGCACTCTCCAGTGTGCCACCGGGCCGGCCCTCTTTTTTTTTTTTTAACATAATTGATTGTACATATCTGTGGGGTACAGCATTGAATACTAATACCTGTCTGCAATATGTGATGCTCAAATCAGGATAATTAGAATATTCAGCATTACACAATGTAATCATTTTTTGTGGCCCTTTACCAATTTCTTGCTAAACACCCCTCTCCTTACCCCATTCCCACCTCTGGTGGCCTCAGTTCTGTTCTCTCCTTTTGAAAGTTCAATGAATTATTGTGATTGTTATCTTTATTTATTTATTTGGGTTTTTTTATTTTTTAGCTCCAACTTATGAGTGAGGACATGCAGTATTTCTCTTTCTATGCCTGGCCTATTTCACTTAACATAACTTTCTCTAAGTTCATCCATGTTGCTGTGAATAGCAGAATTTCATTCTTTTTTATGGCAGAGTAGTATTCCATTGTGCATGTATACTGCATTTTCTTTATCCAGTCATCTGTTGATGGATATTTAGGTTGGTTCCAACTCTTGGCTATTGTAAATAGCGTTATGATAAACATGGGAGTACAGGTATCTCTTCAAGATGGTAATTTCCAATACTTTGGGTATATATCCAGCAGTGGGATATATGTATATGGCAGTTCTATCTGTAGTTTTTTGAGGAACCTCCATATTGTTTTCCATAATGGCTGCAC